TACATAATGTGCTAGGAGCCCTCCGAGGTTATGAAGCTTAGCACTGCCCTGCCTGTAAGACCCAATCCCATGTGCCTGCAAACCCATTCCAGAGATGATGTGCTCAGGGCATTGCTAGGGATGAAGTGAAGGAAGGCTGGCTGTGTATGCACAGGGTGAGTTGGCAGAGGAGTGTGTGGAGAGATTTTTGGTGTTCTGTAGATAGGCTGAACAGGAAAGCTCACTCTGTGCAAAGGAGCTGCCAAACTTAGGATTCTGCTTGTTTTATAATCAAAGAATGAATCCTCTGCAATTGCAAGGAGTGTCTGTTCTCATTCCCATTGATTCCAGATCACTTTTCCCTGCCATATATGTGGCATGTACTACCTGCTAGTGTCCTGAGCAAGCTTCCTATGGCTGTGAGGGGAATGGAGGCCAAGGGGCCACGTCTGCGTGGAGCAGTGTGGTGCTGCAGGGGTTGCTGTGCAGGGTGCTTGGTGCACAGAGCCCAGTATATTTCTTGAGGGTTTTAGTTTGCAACAGTTCTAATCTGTTCCAATGGACTGGCCATCTGTTTTAGTGGTTGAAGTGCATTTTGTGGTTGAGCTTTGTCCAAGAGGAATGCTGTTTGCGTGCTCTCGGGTTGCTCTGAAGCCCAAGTGTTTGTGGTGAGAGGAGGAGAAGGGATTCATTTCAGAAATGTTTGAACTAGGAATCACATGAATTGGGCTACTATGCCTAAACTTGGCGAGCAGGTTTCTACTCTGTCTCTGAACAAGCAGGCCTTTTATTTGTAGAATGTTGAGGTCTTCATTTATATTTTCATACTATAAAAACTAAATAAGTGTGGTGAACTTTACTAAGCACAGTTCTGAAATAGGATTTTGTTATGTGATGTTAGATACCTGCTGCTAGGTGTGATTCTTTTTTTTAATCATTTGTGTATGATTGAAATAAGAATACAATATTTGCATCTCTTTTGTCTGTGAGATCTACTCATCAATACTTAAATGATCACAACTGAGACGAGGACTCGATCTGTGTCTGGAGATGGTCAAACTTTCAGGTCTTGTCAAATTTTCATGATAACTTGGGGGGGTGTATTGAAATTTGAGAAATAAAAGTAAATACTTCCGTAAGGCTCACTTTTCAGTTGAAGGCTTTTTAAAGCCATCTTGTCAGTTCAAATTGCCTGAAAGTATCATATGTAAAATGATATGCATGTGCTGTATAATCCTATCCTTAGTAAATGGATTTGCAGTCTAAGAATTGTATGAATTGGAGCACTTGGATCCTCAGGCTGATTCAAGAAAAAGCATTTTAGTTTATAATCTCTTTACACTCTGGTATTCCCAGTGACTTTGTAAGCAAAGATTTAACTTGCTTTCCAACTAAATGCAAAAGCTGACATTAGACTGCCAATTCCAAAAACCCAGGCTGAAGAAACAATCTTCGTCTTGTATAAAGAGACAATTTTAAACTTAGTGCTTAGAAAGCAACTGTATTATCAAGCTGCTTATTTGGGGGTAGGAAATGAGACAAAATAAAACTGAATGAGAGCATCTCCATTAGTAGCCATGCTGCTCCATGGGGTGCCCACGGGTGGCAGCTGGCTCTGTGCAGCTGTGTCTGTGATACTGGCTGGGCCTGGCTTCCTGCCTTGGCAGAGGAATAAGAGTAAAGGGGATCTGTTCACTTTTGGTTAGATCATGTAGGGAGATGGAGCAAAAATAACCTCTATGTAAGGTGCATTCATATCATTGTTTCTTAGTTTATTGCAGTTTTGAATTAAAGCTTATTTTGAGGATGACTCAGCAAGCCCTCGGGCTCCTCCAGGCTGGTGATAACGCTTCGGCTTCCTTGCTAAAAAGCCATGGTAGAATGAGGTTGAGTTTTGCTCTGGCTGTAATGTTCCAGTTTAATGACCCACTAACAGTACTGTGCATGGTGCTGTCCTCAGAGAGCTGAGGTCAGGAGTGACTGGAGCACTGATTAATGATTGAAGAGCACCTGCTTGTGACTAATGACGAAAAAGATGCTCCTAGTGACACAGGTGCATATATAGGTTACTACCTATCCAGAATAAAGAATTGATATAGTTTGTATGACAGAACGTTCAAGGTTTTACTTTTCTTTTTGGACTTTCTGCTCTAGAACATCTCCTGGCACTCAATCTCTTCAGTTATTTGTAATCATTGCAGAATAAATACTTCTGTCAGATAAGATCTATCAAAAGAGTACCAATAATGAGAAATGTGTCAGAAATGGAGGTTCAGCAGTGGTATGAGGTGCTGAATCCTGTTTTGTATGTTATTCTACTTCCACCTATTTTCATTACCAAAGCAACATTTTGGTAGGAACTTGGTTTGGAAACAGTCATATGGCGAAAGAAGACCTCACAATGCTGTATTGCAATAATATTGAACGAGTTTAAGGCCAACTGAAAGTTTAAAGGATGTTGTGGGTTTTTTCCCCAGTGCCTGATAGCTGTTATTAGAAGGTGTTTATGAATTAATCTTTGCGATTATTTTCTTCATAAGAGAAATTATTTCTAGATCTGTCAACACTGAATCAGTTTTGTATCGATATCAGCTGATCAATGACTTTGCAGTTTTGAGGTATTTGAAATGCTAGCATAAACACCAAACTAGATGGCTCCCACACTGAGAGGCAAATGGAAGAATTATTATTTTTGTTGTGAGGGTTCCTTGTGATTTGCTTTGTAAATCAGCTTTGAGGCTCTGGATAAATTTCAGTGTCATGCTGGTAACACAGAAGCTTCCTTTCAAAGAATATTTGAGTTTTATTCTGTTAAATAACATTTTATTGCAGTCTTTATTTCCCTTGAGATTTAAAAAGGTAATTGTTTTTGTTAGTTTACTTACTTTTGCGTATAGCTACATGTTCTGAAAATCAAGCCGAGCAGTTAAAACAACATTAAAAGCAATTACATCTTTGCAAAAAAAAAAAAAAAAAAAAAAAAAAAAAGGTTATAATCTAAACATGTATGATGTCAGAGGTGCTGGGTATGTCAGAGCGTGCCTGATGAGAGCAATGGAGTTCTGGGAAAGCTTCCTGGAAACATCCAGGAGAGCAAGTAAGGTCACATAGTAAAGTTGATTCCATCTAAAAAGATTGATTTCATTTGTCATCCTCACTGCATTGATAATCTTCCTTCAGCTGAATACTTTCGTTCTAGTTGCCTGTGCATTTCTTTCTGAATTTGCTGTATATTGCAGTTTGATTGAAGCCAATCAAATGAAACAATTATTACTGCGCTTGATGCATCTTTCAAGTGCCTTTTGGTAGAAATTCCATCAATGCCAGGAAACTTGCTCAGTGCTTCACTGTCAGAGGTGCCTTGTTGTATAAGGTGACCAAGGCAACTCAGATTTGTTTTGATGCGGTGCAAGAAACAGCTCAGTGACAGCTAAAGCAGTTAAATGCTGACAGGCTTAGCTGATGGCAGGTTTGTAGGTGGATATATTAAATGATGAAAGTGACTCTTTTGAATAGTTCTGGTTTTCATTCTGCAAAATATGCAGCTGCTGAGAGCTAAGGAAACTTCTCCATCAGGGTGAGCTTTTGCTTCTGGTTCTTCTCTGGCGTAGGATTCATGAGATGGGAGAAGGGGCAGAGCTGACCCATCCCTCTCATTCTCTCAAACGTTCAGCTGCACTGAAGCAATTCTCTGCTCTAGTGCATTCTGCTGCCTAAATCATCACTTCTTTAAGCCTTGGGGTCACTGCTTCTTTCTGACACTATTTCATAGTGATTGCTTGTCTTCTCATTCTTTTTCCTCTTCTTGTTTTCAGCAGCCTAATTTACTGGCTTTAGACCTTGGCTTTGATTCCCAGTGATTTTTGGGGCACTGCTGATAGCAGAAATTCCTCTCTGTGGATAGATGTAGTTTCTGCTTACCCTGTCTTGATTAAGAGTGGACACTTGTTTGTAATCTGCTCTGTCTTGTTAGGGCTGCTTGAGGGGAAAAAAAGCTCAGCAGCAGCTATTGTAGCAAAGTTACATCCTCAGCCTCAGAGAGGGCAGGGGGTGAAGCCTGTTATTCTAGGGGTAGTCTAGGAATTGCTGCTAGTGTGAAATAGTCTTATGCTTCTTATTTCCTCTCTTACTGATAAGTAAAGACAAGCTACGTCCTCTGGTGCCGTGACAGCTTGGTGACTCCTTGGTTTCATGAGGACCTGAGAACTCCTGGTCCTGTAGATGTGGGCTCTTTCCTTTTGTACTCCAGGCTGTACTCCTCCTGCCTGTACCCTGTGGCCCATCTGTTAGGGTATGGGAAATCTCCTTACATCTTCTTTTCTTCATTGCTAGCCCCAGGTATGTCACTCAAGCCATCCTGATTGCAAGATGGGGCACAAGGATTTGGAACTCCCAGAAGGAATTCTTATGTGTTTCTTCATTGAATTTACAGTTTCCTCTTTGGTTTTGAAGGAACCTATTTATTTATTTATTTATTTATTTATTTATTTATTTATTTTGCTGTAGCTTCTCTGCTTAACGGAAGTTCTAAACCACTGCTTTCTGTTTCGCTGATCCTATGGTGAATAAATCTACAGTGTTACGCTGAAGAACTTGAATAGCATTTCTTATCATTGCTCTAATGTATTTAAATCCTAACCCTGTATCAATCTGGAATGACATGCTGCTATCTTTTTATTTTTTTTCAGTACAACCACAGGAATTGCACATACATCTGCAGGATGAAGCCTGTTTTAGTGTTGCTTCATGGAGAATTTGAAAAATGTAGATGCTACCTTTCAGAACTCTTCAGTAGTTCTGAGGTGCGGATTAGTAATACTTCATTTTTGTGTTTCATTAAAGAAAAAAAGTAAGAAGAAAAAATGAAATAATGGCAATTTGTCATTTAAATAGCATGACTAGTTTCTTGTCTTTTCTTTTTTGATTCTGTACAGTAAAAGTAAAAACAATCTCTTCTCCCAAGACACCAACTTTCACGCTCTGAATATATGCAACACAGACTAAGTTTTATTTTGGAAGGTTTTAATGCTTGCATAGTTTAGAAGCAGGCAGGATATTTCACAACATCAGCTTTGGAGCTCCTTTTAGCCAAACATGTGACGAGAGTGGTTATGTCTGACCTGACTATTTTTCTGATGGAGCTTCTGCCTAAAGAGGAAGGGAAACCATTATGTTAGAACACACTTGCAATAAATTATCTCCCCTAGTGCTTACACTCATCTCATATGAGTAAACTGCACTGTATTGTGATGTCGAAGAACTTGCTTGAAGATCTTAATGACTCAAGATCTGGGTATCAGCTGCATGGGATTTTGGGAACCTATCAGGTAGAATGTGACAAAAATGCAACAAAGGAGGAATAGGCTTAAAATGGAAGTGGGATATAGAAGTGTGCTAATGCAAAGGTAGGCTGCCCTGTCAGAAATAAAAGGGGTTGTGAAGTATTGAATCATGCTGTTGCTTCTTGAAGGAAAAAATAAAAATAATTGCTGTTAGATTGCACAGATGTTCTCACAGATTTTTACTTGGCCTTCCGTTTGTGGCATTGTATAATGTAGGTCTCATGGGGCTGTGAACATTAAATATTTTGTGTGGAAAAGCTTGTATCCTGGCTCCTCCCTGGATTGTATTGTTTCCATTAGTAACTGTGAATTAGGTAAATGTGATCACTTTTAGACTTTAACAGTTGAGGGTGTGGGTAACCATCTTCCAGAAGCGTGGCCTTAGCAGCTCAGTTAGCAGCTCAGTGACTGGGAGCTGCATGCAGCTTGGTGGCTGCTGGCTGTGCAGTTCAGCTCTGCTGAAGTTCTAGGCTTTGTCTGCAGTGCCTCACTTCATCTGACTGCAAGGCAAAGGGCTCAGAGATAACAACAAGCCTCATGCTTCTGGCTTTATTTCAGTATTTCAATACTTCTAGCAGTTTTACGTTTAAATGAAGGACAAAGTGCAGGCTCAAAATAGTCAACTCTGCCCATTGCGTGTCCTGTACCTCCCTCTCTCCATAAATAAAACCCAAAACAAACAAACACACACAAAAAAGAACCTCCCCCAAACCCAAGAAAACAAAACAAAAAACTTCCAACACTGCAAAACAGTGGCACTTCTCTTTTGATTCTATAAAACCGGTTGCTGAAATAGTTGGGACTCTAAATATCTTCCCACTCTGGTATTTCTTCCTTCTCTGAGGGCACTGCCTCCTGTTTTACAACTTGCTGATGTATTAGAAAGTTGAGCAGAAAGTGATCACCTGCAGCAGTGGTGGGTTCTGAGCTGCAGCATCCTTCTCTATCACTAAGCAGAACTCTCATGTCCACACGTGGGTGTCTTTCTGTACCCCAGTGACACAAATTCTGTTATTCCAGCTCTTTACCACAGGTGCTTTGTATTTAAGGCACGTGCAGTGTCCTGATAATGGCCACAGCTATCAGGAGTCAGAAACATGTGATTATCTGCACCATCTAAAAGACAGCACTTTGAAGCCCGCTGAGAAAGCAGCCATTTCAATTTATTAATCAATTAAGGAGATAATTTCTTTTACAAACTTATCTTCACAGCTGTGCTGGCTGAGGTTCAGCTCAGGGCCTGGGAACCTCTTGTGAAGGAGAATTAGGGGTGGTAAGAGATGCTTTGTATCTTTTTCCTGTAGACTTTATTTTCCCCTCTCAGTGAGGAGGAATCCAAAATTTAGTTCTGAAATGATACCAGAGGGGTGTGCAGCGATGTAGGCAGCAGGGCTGCATGGGGCTGGGCAGCTTTCTGCCAGCTGTGCCTCTAACACACCTGCTGGTGGTTGGGCATTAACTGAGCCAAGGCACTGGAAGGTGAGAACAGGTGGTTCCTGCTGAGAGCAGGTGAGTACTAAACCTAAAGAGAAAAAGGAGAAATTTAGGAGTAGGTGACACTGGATTTAGAGCATTTGGCTGTTACCTCGGGAAGCTTAAGTTAAAACCCTGAACTAGGTCACAAATGGAAATGAGGTTTACAGTGATGTGCAGTGAAAAACTGGAACAGTGCTTTTCTGTTTTGCCAAGTACATCAGCATGCACTGTGTTTTGTTTTGTGTGCCACAATTTAATGTGCTGCTATGAGTTTGAATGTAGAGGAACTTGTGCTTCTTAGGAAACATACAGCTCTGTTTATAAATATGTATACCTGTACATATAAAAATATATATTCAAATAGGCATTTCTGAACTTTTTGTTTATTTATGTCTCCAGTAAATAAAACTCCTGACTAACTTTATCCTTCACTGGTGCTTATGATTAAATCATAACCTGTGGACAGTTGAACATTAATGTAAACTCCACTCAGGACTGAAATCTATTTTTGCTGTCATGAAGCAGAAGACATTTAACAAAGGAATATAAATAAGTTGGAAAATACATCTATGGCATCATTTTTAGAAATGGAAGATTGCTTTGTAGGAAGTAAATCTCAGGGAGATAGCTGTAGCAATTAAAGAAACCTAAACAGTAACATTCCTATTTTTTAAACAGTAGGGTTACATCAGATATCATTACGTCTGAGTAATCTTATCCAAAGACCTGTTCAATGGCTATTCAGGTGTGACTTTTCTAAATGAAATATCAGAGGCATCAAAGGTATTGCTGCAGTTGGGAGGGAGAAAGTAGGCAATGGGGCCTCTTTGCTTTGGCAAACTGTTCTTTCAGTAGGTAGTTAGATTTGGCTGTAAATGAGCTCTGTAAGATATATTAGACTGAGACGTTCCCTCACTTTCTATCAGGTTCTTTTGTAATACTTGCCTAAAACAGGAGCTGACTGTATGGATGAATGATTGCTGTTAATATTGAGAGTGAGTAGTCAGTTTCAAATATTTTCAACTTCTTTTTTACTGAGAGAATAGTAATGACAAGAAACACAAGTGCAAGGAGTTAGATAAGCTAATTAGGTAGATTTTCTGCCTCTTACAGTGGCATTTGATGACCTAATTAAATGAAATACACAGTGATACAGGGAAATAAATGTCTTGTTTTTATATCAAATGCCAATTTGTTTTTCTAACAAATTTTAAACATCGTAGTAAGCTATTTTTATAGGCAGAGCTTTGGATGTTTAGTATGAAATAGTCATGCCATTTCCAATAGATATGTCTGTCTCATGACTTTGTACAACTCTGACATTAAAATTGAAAGTACAGAATATGTGCGTTATTCCAGATAGGAGAGATGATTTCCTGAAGTCCTTCCAGGTCAGTGAAGGATATTGTGCTATTTACAGTATATTCTGAAAGCCACTGATTTCAGAGTTGAGACAAAGAGGACCACTGCCACTTGGAGAAAAAAAATGGCAAGATTAAAGTTGTTAATTGGTGCAGCACTTCTGTGAAATGTACAGAGTCGAATGGCGAACTGCAGCTTGACTCAATCCCATTCAGTGTCCTAGAAGCTTTCTGTAAATGCATTATATGTAGATCAATCTGTGTAAAACTAAAGAGTATTACAATTAAGTTGGGGTTAAACCTCCAGAGAAATGTCAGCTGTATTTCAGAAAAATATTGACCCATATTGCACCTATGTCACTCCATTAGGCAGTCATCTCTAGGAATCTTTTTGTTCATCTTGTGGGTAGAGTATTGGATGATTGGAAGTCTTGTTAATATAAGAAAAAACATTTCTATGAGTATCTATACATTAATTAGAAAAGGAACAGTGACAAATTAGAGGTACAGATGGGGAGGAATTTTCCTGAATGCTACCTAGGCAATTTCTTAAAATATTGTGTGGAATCTTTTTCTCACAGCAGGGTATGAATTTCACTATTCTGAAATAAATAAGGCTAACAATCCACTGAAGGGCAATAATATGTTTAATGAGAGATTTCTGAGCTCTGCTCTGTTTTTCCTTAGTGCCTCTCCCTTCAGTCAGCCTCCTGAACTGTTTATCATGCTGGCTGCACTCTGCTACTCTCCCTCATACTATATTAGTGTCTTGGCAGACCAGATTTTGTTAGGCCTTGCTGTCTTTCTCAATTTATATTTTAGATTTGAGCCATCTCAAAAAAATTGCTGCTATTCCAGGAGAGGTTCCATTACTCCAACATCTGGGTTCATGTATGTGACTCTAACTGTAAACAAATGCTTGATATCAGTAGAGAAAATGACATGTTTCTTAGCTTGGATGCAAGGCAATCAGCATTTGGATTGTCTTTTTTTAGACAACGTGCCTTATCCTCATGTATATTAAAGAATGAACATACTTTGAGGACAGACGGCATTCTGAATTTTTCAAGACCTGCAGTGTGAAAGCAAACTTCAAGTATCTTTTGTGTGCTTCAGTTACACACCAGGCTGTTACATGGAAACAGTCCAACCTCTTGTGCAGTGAGAGTGATGTGGTGCCACTTCTTCGCTTCATCTCTTGGCCTCTCTTCATCCAAAACCCTGGAATTCATTTTGTCAAAGAAACTTGAAGTAGAGCATTTTGACATTTGTTGTTGGAATCTAGCAGGAAAATATCCTTACAGAAAAGTAGGAAGCTCTTTCCATATGTGTCAGTGTTTTTCCTCAGACTTAATATTACAACTGCGAAGAAGAAAATCCTGCATGCTTGCTTCTCTACCTGCTTTCAACTGCTACAGAGCCTGGCACCATGCTCTAATTGGCTGTGAGATAACATCTTTGTGTGCAGGTGTCACCACGGGCTCATCCTGTGTTCGTGGCCTTGGGTTTTAATGGCTGTTAGCAGTTTCTGTCAGTGCTTCACTGGTGCTGTGAATAATTCCAAAAACTGGGACTAAGTTGAGTAATAGAAAAATAGCTGATGCAGAAAAAACAGGCACAGACATTTTAAAGAATGTTTATGCTACATGTACACAAATGATATTCCATCTATTCTTCTGGAGCCCATTCACTTTGTTTATTTTTAACTAGCATTTCCCATGACTTATGGCAGTGTGCTGTACACCCAGGACTTGCAAGCTTTCAAGTAAATGCTTACACAAGAAATTTCTTTTTCCCTATTCAGAAAATGATTATGGTTGAACCTTTTCATGCAGCAAGGCTCTGATCATGCAAGCTGCCTTGATCCCATATTATCCTATGGGATCAATGTATATAGTACATGAAAAAAAACCAAAAACTTACTGAATTGGAATCAAATCTCTGTGCTTCAGTAGACATAATGAACCCC